AATATCCTGTACTAACTGTTTGCAATATTTGTACTTGTAAATCTTTTGCAGTATGTCCATTCGTGTGAAAATGTGTGTACAGTAAAGTTGTATTAACCCCTTTATCTATGTTATATTTGTGTTCCCGAAATTTAACCTGTAGTGTACGCTTAGTTTGGCCTACATACTGTATTCCACACCTAAAACATGTAATACAATAAATGAGATTAGTTGTTTTGCAATTTAATCTATCCCCAGGATTTGCTTTTATAATGTTAAACTTTTTACCAGAGGCAAAAGAACAACCGTATCCTATGTCATTAACTGCATTACAGCAAGCGCAACCTGATCCACTAGCTGTAGTTGTAATTTCCTGAAGTGTAGTTGAATTACGAATTAAGTAGTTAAATTCTAAATCCACTTCCACTCGATAAAAATGACGATTAATAAAGCTGCCACCTGTAGCCTGATTGATCAGGGAGGACGCAGGTGGCAACCCATCCGCCCTGACCGTAGCCTGGGTTGTTGTTTTTATTTTATTAGTGGGGAGCGAGTATGCGTTCTTTGGTTAGGTGTTTCTAGTAAATGGGGAGAAGGGATGTGGATATACCCGAGACAATTTGGTAATGTACTGTAATATGATTACGAAGAAATATTCTAAAGATTGAAATTTGGATAATGCGACGGTAAAATCACGCCGTATTTGGATTATTTAAGAACCCAAAAAAATTTTTTATGTCTCGGGTGGAAAGTGGAAATATGTTGGTATGAAGTATACATTTAGAAAAAGATAAAAATATTTTTCATATGTGGTATCAGAAACAAGTATTTTAATAAACAGCGTATTATCCCAGGGGAAGTTTGATAAAGTCGTTGAATAATGCATTTCTAAACAGGAGGAATTTTGGTAAATAAGACTGAAGATTGGATAAAGTTCGAAAAATTGCAAAGTATCAAAAGATGCTGAAATTGGCCAAAAGACATTTAAATTTACGGTATATGAAACCGAAGAAAATTTTAATGAACATCGGTTGAGTGTCGTTGAAGTTTTGATAAATCCGAAAAAATTTTCATTTGCGAAATTTGGTTTTTTAATGTCAGTCTGAAAATGAAAATAAACCTAATGGTAATATGAGAAAATAGTATTTGATTCACATGGAAAATGTAGTAGTATTTAAATACAGAAACAGAGTATATGGAAAGGCTCCTAAAGAAGCCCTTTCCATTGTAAATTGCTACACACTAAGTGTGCAGTGGCGTAGATAGCTATGTCGGCTCTGAGACCGATTATAGTAGTAGGGAAAATTAGAAAAATTAAGAAAAAATTAAGGAAAAAGGAAAGGGGAAAATAGAGAAAGGTAAAAGAAAAGTAGTGGCGGAAAGAAGGAAAAGTAAAGAATATATATATATGCATAGAGGAAAAAGGAAATGTAAGTATGGAAAAGTTAAATTACAACAGAGAAAAGAAAAAAGAAGAAGAAAAAAGAAGAAAGAAGACAGAAGAAAGAAGAAACCGAAATAGATGAAAGCAATAAGATGAGATGGTGAAAATAAAGAAAAGAAATGAGAAGTAGGGAGGAGGATACCAAAGTAATATGACAAACAGGAAGGAAATAGGTAAATGGTAAATACTAAGGTAATAGAATTA